ACACACACACACACACACACACACACACACACACACACACACACACAACGTAACAGTGCAAGAGACGTTGTGCAAAACACCTTGAATTTATTTTCAGCTGATTCTCAAAAGTTACATTTTGTCCAAAACGCTAACAAAGGTCAAGCCAAAGAACAAAGGTCAAGGCCACACAAAGACAACAGTGGTGTAATCAAATATTTGGGGCTGAAACTTAAGCAATTGTGGAAAAATTGCTCAATCTCGATTTCTTTCACGTGAGTTCACCACCGCTGGACTACGGACGAAACAACCTGATAATAATTACATTTTGACGTAGAACGAGGCCTGTATACATTCTTTCCTCCACTTTTGATTTGTTTTGTCTTGTTGTGATCCTCTTCCTGCTCCGTTTTATATCCTGCAGATGAAAACGATTTCACGCAGTAATAAAAAGGATAAATTAATCCCTTACTCCTTTTCTGCACCCCCTCCACGCAGATACCCTGATTTGCAAACTCGGCTCGCAGCTGACAGCGAGCTGCGTTTGCAGCTTCTCTCGTTCAGTCATCGCCGAGGAGTTCACTTCACACGGATCATGAAAGCTTTTTTTTTTTTTGGCTTTACATAAAAAATAAGGCCCCTGTAGTGAACTCAACATCTTGATACATAACAGAGCAAAACACCAGCGCATGTGGCTCACAAACTCACTCACCTTACACACTATAAATTATTTTACTGTAAAAACAAAGAGTGTTTTGTGGTAACGTCCACATTCTTTGTTTACCCCTGAAGGCTTATTAAATATTTGGCACGGGTCTTTTCAACAGCTCTCCTTATGATCACATTCTTTTTTTTTTATAACTAATGAACCAGTTTCAAAACACGTTCTTATGTGGATTAAACTTTTATAAAATATAGCTTCAGCTGGAACCTGCATTGTGGCTACTACGCTCATATTTGATGTTTTTTTTTAAAGAACAAAAGGACCTTAACATCAATTTAGGAATAACTACATTCAGATAGCTTTTTGAAAAGTAATCAATAAATAATCTGTTTGCAGGCTCGTGATTTTCACTGTACAAAACCTGATTATCTCTAGAATTTACTAAAAAACAAACAGTTTTTTTTTAATATACACATAAGAAGCTCTGGTTACATGTTTTCCCTCCAGCATCTTGCATTTATTATAATAATAAGCAGGTGAATTTGTTCCAGACAGCAGATTGATCTCTTCCCACACACTGGCCTTAACCTTTGCCGATGATTTTGGAACATGAACAATAAAAATACCCACTCCTGTTATTGAATGGGAAGGGGAACAAAGCATGAAGGAAGGAAGCCCATCCCAAACAGAAGTTCCCATAACGGCTAATTTACTATAGTACAACATATATACAATAGCACATTTTTAAACCACACGAGGACAAATGATCTGAACTTTTACTTGTGAAAACCTGTAAAATATTACCAACAATCCTGCAGATGCATTCAGGAAAATGCTGATAATCAAGAGCAGTTTCTTTGTGACACATGGGGTCAAATCCTGGGGGAACCTGTCACAAGAGCTTTAAGAGTCTGTTATAAATGTTACTATACGTTACAGTAAGGTTTTGAACATAAATCTATAGCAGATCTCTGCCAAGTGCAATGTTCTTCTCTCAATTATTTCACCGAAAAACAAAAAAGATTAGACAGAAATATGCATGAGCGACTAAAAAGCTATTTATTTTCTAACTAGAGAAACTAAATGCTGAGCACAGAAAACAGCTGATGAAGCTGAAAGTGAGTTGTTAAAGCTAAAAGAAGCAAAACAGCAGCAAGAGGCTAAAAGCAGCACATGGTTAACTAAAAGTCCTTCATTTATTTAAAGCAGTGGTTCCAAACCCTGGTCCTTGAGGAACACCATCCAGCATGTTTTAGATGTTTCCCTGCTGCAGCACACCTGATTCAGTGGTTTAATTACTTCCTTAAGTTCGGCAGAAGCCTGTTAATCACCTTTCATTCAAATCAGGTGTGTTGGAGCAGAGGAACAACTAAAACATGTGCGATGGTGTTCCTCAGGGACCAGGGTTGGGAACCACTGATTTAAAAAGTAGCTAAAAACTAAAGTATTTACAGGCTAACTAACGTTAAAAGTAGCAAAAGGTTAAAGTAAAGAGAGGCAAACTGTCAGTGAAAAGCTAAAAGTAGCAGAATAGTAGCTAAGAGTGTCAGAATGATAGCTTAAAGTTAAAAAGTAGCAGAATAGTAGCGAAGAGTGGCAGAATGGTATGTAAAAGTTAATAGTAGTCGAAAAGTAGCTAAGACCTAAGAGGGGAGAATAGAAGCTTAAAGTTAAAAGTAGAAGAATAGTAGATAAGAGCTCAGAGTGGCAGCTTAAAGTTAAAAGTAGACGAATAGTAGCTAAGACCTAAGAGTGGGAGAACAGTAGCTTAAAG